TACGTATGTATATACTTGTATATCTATATATCTATAAAATATATATATATATATATATATATATATACCTACTATTTATATGTATATATATCCGCCACGATTGAATACCTACCGAAGAGTCAGCCAATCCAAAGAACTCGTCCCTGGCGTTGTTCGCTGGACCATTTCCTGCTTGATTGTGTGGGTTGTAGCTCGGCAGAGAAGTCTGTGTCTGTATACCCCTGGCACTTTGCGCCCTTGTTTGTTCGAGATTTATATTCTGTGTCGTAGCCATTCCTGCAAGATCAAACGACGAACGCGCGTGCTTTTGCTGCGACATGGGTGGTGTGAGATTATGATATTGGTTGTTATTCTGCATGCTGTTGTTGTTGTTGTTGGTGGTGTTGCCACTTGCCATGCCCATATTATTGGCGTAGCTCTGTGTGTGCCGCATGTTGGTCAGACCTCCGCTAAAAGTCCTCCCCATAGCTCGGTCGTCCATTATGCTTCCGGTCCGTGACTGACTGCCATCCAAGGGATTAACGAACCCCATGTTCCCCACATGGCCAGCGCTTGCACCGCTGTGTCCCGTGTTGTTGTTCCCCACAGGGTTGTTCCCTGAGTTGTACCTGCTGAGAGTTTGTAGAGAGGCGTACAATTGACGATATATGTGAGCTAAGACATCGGAATAGTCAGACAAGAACGAATTGACTCGCACAAGAAATCGTTTAGATAGCTCGACATGTGCTGCAAATATGAGGTAATTGTCACCACTCTCTTCGTAAAACATATGCCCTAGCAAATCACCTCAAGCGACCCCGAACCCAGGATGCTGATCATGTGAACAAGTACAAAAGCCGCCCGCGCTAGGAATTAATATTACTTTCATGAAGTTAAATTCTTGTGTATATGCTAGAACGGGATTCTAATCACTTTGAAGTGATGTCAGATGTAGCTGTAACAATGTCTGCATGTATCGATATACATCATGATCGATATCGGTGCAGATGCTCCCGCATCAACCGTCCGAGATATACGACTTAGTGCAATAAGAAGTATGAGAGAATAACTCTGTTTTCTAGGTTTTTATATCGACAATATATGTACAAATATATCCGTAAAAGGCCGTGAGAGAACAAACTCGCGTAGATTTCTATGAAGATATGTAC